AGGCTCTCCCCGCCGTACTTGATGTAGGAAATGCAGCCATCGAAGCCTAGGAAGAAAAGCAACAGTCACATCGGGACCTGAAGATTGAGTATGCACTGTCAACAGAGGCCAAAGACGCTCTGAGCATCAAGATCACACTAAAGGAGAAACGTTTTGATCAGCAGATGACAAGATCTGCGGTGTGCCTCTTGCCCCCTGAAATGAAAGGGGAAACACAAAAAAAAAAAAGGGGGGGGAAACACAGAAGAAACAAAATGGAAAACCCAATGCTGCAATGGAGGCGACAGTGGGGTAAATCACGCTGTTATTTACACACGTGAAGCCTGCGTATTTTCATGAATGAATCTTACATGTAACTGAGCTCACGATTGCTTCTGCATATTTTTACCTTGCATTGTGATGAATGTACAAATATCTGTGATATTAACCATAACAGTGTAATATTTAAGTAACCACTTATTTCACTAGAAAGACGGCCCATTCACAGATGTTTCAGTATCTGACAATCTGCACTCAATCATTTAGGCTCAGGTGTAAGGAATGTTTTGATGCTTCTGTTAAATATTTCCTCTTACATTGTAATGACTGTTTTGCTCATAAACTTTTGATAATTTTGGGAGGTTCATATTAGATAGGAACTGAAATCCACTTCTAAGCAGAACGAGATTAAGTAAAGGCTGGTCATGCCTGGAGTTCTGACATAACTTCTATAGATGCACCTTTTGAAACTAATGATTTTCACATCGTAGCCATGCATAGAAATGGAGATTACAGATAAGAAAGTAATTAAGTAATTTCTCTGAAGATACATGCATGGCACTTATATAAATGATACCGAGATATCTTGGTTCTTTTAAGTCTGCCAAATAAGAATTCAGAAACATACCATGGTTTTTAACTTCAACACTAAGATTGCAAAGCAACAAAAATATTCTTAGGTGAGTAAATAAAATGTACCAAACCCTGCAATTAAGATGCTGAAGGTCTGTAAAACATTTTGCACCCCCATTGGTTTCATTAAATCTGAAGAAACAGGCGATTGTAAGCAGAAGCCTAAATAATAGGAAATGTCGATCTGGCTTTTAAGAATTCTATAGGCTGTGCAAGAGAAGGAACTACTCTCTGACTAGGAAGTATCTACCTCAAGCTTGGAGACTGGGAATAAAGTTCAAATTGAGGAAAAAACTTAATATAAAAATGAAATGAAAAAATGCATTTTGGGTAAAACCAGGTTGCTCACACATTGACTCAACTCTGCTGTTCACTGAGCAGATTAGATCTGAGGCTTGCAATGCAAATGGATACTTTCGTGATGGTAGTGTGCTTATCTTCCAGATAGACTCATCGAAGGAAGTCTGAAGGCTATATTCTCAAATCTTTATTATAATGTAGTTTCCCCTTGAAGCAAAATTCTTTTGCCAAAATACTAAGCAATGAGAAAATGGTTGGATTCTGCAGAAACATTATATTTTCTAAAAATATGTCGTTAAACTGACTCAATTTTCAATTTATAGACTCCTTTCATTGATGCTAAATGAAAGGCTCCATTGTTCCGTAAATAAGCCAAGAATTCAAATGGCTGCCATAGGGAAACATCTATTCTAATAGTATTTAATGTCTTTAAAATGAACTTGAACAAATATTCCTTCTAACGACTTCTTTCAATGTACTTTAAATGGTTTTATTTCCTAATTTTCCCATATTTCTAAAACTTCTTATCATCCACACAGAGAAACCCGTGAGCAGCTGGTTTGGCTGTGCTAGCAGAAACCATCAGCTTCCACTCCCCATTGCTGGTGGGCTTTCCAGTTTCCCCTATTCCGAGCTGAAGTTGCCTATCGTGCTTCAGCTAAGCCTCCCGTCTTACCGTCTCCTAAAATCATGGCAATACTTTTGCGTCTCTGAATCTTAAGTGGCCTTTTCCCAAACTTCCCACAGCTTCATTGTAGTGCTACCCTGTGGTGCCGAGTTTCAGTGCTGTGGGAGCCCAGGGAGAGGGGATTATCCCCGGCCTTTGTGCGGTGGTTGTATGTGAGGTTGCAGGAAAAACCAGCCTTTTGCCAGCCTAATAATTCTCTGTGCTCCTGAGACTTAATCCTTTCTGCAAGGGTTTTAGGATAGTGCAACCTTATGCTGACTTCTGCTTGGAGTTGTGACAATATGGTATGTAGAGATGTGTTTGTAAGTTATGCTCTCAGTGTCCTCATGTGTGGTTGCTGTAAGAAACATGTTTATTTCTCCTTAACTTCTGACGGATCGTCCTTGGGATGCCGTGCGTGGTGCCAGGTTTACAGGAGGGTACTATTCAAGACCAAATTTTTCAGCTGTTATCAATAAAAATAATCAACAAGAAGAAGGAAAGTGCCACTACTCAGTTCTGAAGCATTGCACTTGGGTGAAAGAATAAACAGGAGCAACTTTTCCATGCATTAGTAGTGTCAGAGAAAGGTTCATTTCTGCAAACGTATTGCTGGAATGGAACAACAGCCACTATGAATGGTAACTGTGAATAATTGTGGAAATCTCTGTAATAATGGGTAGCACAGAGATAAATGTTATGAATATTTACTCTGTCATGAAACACCAAATATACTTAAGTTGTATGAGGTGATATTACAGATTTATAATCTCCAAAGTATGTTGTTTTAAAATTTGAACACCCTCTGATGTCAGAAATTAAATATGAGTGGGTATCAACATCAAATATGTTTCACTGAGGGATGCAAGTCATGTGGTGTAAAGGGACATGAAAGAGCCTTCTAAGTTTTGCAAGCATGCTATTTCTGTATTATTTCCCATCTGAAAGACATGTATTTTCTTTCAGCATTACTTACATTTTCATTTTCTCCTGTTTTTACATTCTCAAATAAAGAGGAAATTGAGGATTTAGGCTCAGGTGGGAGCCCAAGCAAAATGGACGATTACCTTGCCACATGCTTGGTGGTCCCCTGCAGCAGTGATGTGATAAACAGCAATCAGGATTTTGCCAGGTTTGAAAATGTTACTGGATATACCAGCTTCACAGCTTGTCTGCCTTTAACAGTACTGCAGATATTTTTGACTCTCCGAGTTCATGCAGAGTTTTATACCTCCCCCTTGTAAATCCTTGGTTTGTCGTCCACAATGTAATCCAATATTAAAATAAAATAAAATCATATGAATAAGAGATTTTGGATTGTATATTCCTAATGGAAGCCAGACAATCCTAATTTGTCTGCCACAGTGGTGAGATTTTAGCATCCTCAATTTTCTTTGTTACAGCTTTCCTAAAAGCCTCCGACTTTTCCATTCGTACACTGCTCATAAAACACACGTAAAAATGGTAAAGGTAAGCATAGCATTCGTATGATTTCATACTGCGTTTCATACAAATTCACAATACACAAATGTGAAGTGTGAATTTGCTCCACTCAGAGATCCTTTATCTGCTCGCAACTCTTGAAAACAGGATGATTTTTCAATATAAAAACTCTGTGAAACCTACCCCTGCATTGTCTGGAGCATCTCAGTTTGTAGCTGAAAATCACTTCCATCGTTACTTATCATTGGGGGAATGACATCAAACATATGTTATCTACTCCTTTTGTCAGGGTCTAAGACAGTTGCTTTAACTCTTAAGGGAGACTGATTTACTTAGCAGCTAGATTTTGGTTCCTAGAGGGTGGTTCCTTATTGTTCTTGGTTTCTGTTGCTCAGAAATAAATCCTATTCTTCATTTGACAGCAGGATAAAGCAGGAGGAAGTTGGAGTTTCAGAAAAATATTTTAATCATATTAAAAACAGGCTAAATCCTGCAGTACTTACCAAACCCCTGCAGAGACAAAGTTCTCATTTAGCATTTTTGCCCAAGTAAAAGATTTGCCTTGATTGTCCAGATTCTGACCCAGGTGAAGAATAGATCCTTTCTTCTCCGTCAGCATAACAAAATTGTAACAACTGATTTACAGGCAAGCAAGCAACTCCCCCCCACCCCACCCCCAAAAAGCCCTGTAGATGGAGTGCCTGCTTTGGAAACATGAAGGCTGCAACATGTACTGAAGGAACAAAGTCTGCAATCCTTACTCATTCAATTTGCAGTTTTCCTGGCAAACTATGGAAGTATATTAGTTACTAATAAAGAATTACAGTAAATTCTGCAACCTTTAAGCCAGTAGAGACCCTTCGTCTGCTCAAATCTGCTTATGTGCACTGTATTAAAAAAAAAACCCAATAAAAATTACCTGCAACTGTGCTCTTGAAAGGTTGGCTCGATGGGATTCCTCCCAAAGAAATTGTAAGAACGTTTAGACCACCAAAGTCTTGCGTGGCGTGGAGAATGTCTCGGCTATGAGTCTTGTCGACCGACAGGATAGTAGCAGACCCGTTCTTCTCAATGAGTACCGAATGCCACTGACCATCCGCAGCGTACACTTCTGGGATATTTCTTTCCACTTTCCCAGCAATTCCAGCATCCGATACGTAATGCACTTTCCCACCTTTTATCTGAGCAGAAAACAGTAAAATGTGTAATTTTAAAATGATACACACATAACTGCTCCTATGCACGCATAACCGATGTAATGCCTATTCAGCACAGCTGCAGTAACACGTGGCTTTGGTTGTATTACGAAGCCTGGGTGTATTTTTCCCCAAATAATTGTTTTGTACTAAAAATGCATTAATTATTTAGTACTAAAAATTTGGCGGCAATTAAATACATCATTGCATCTGTAGAAAACCTAGAGCTGTCATCCACTCATTCCCTGACTAATCTCATAAGAGAAAAACCTATTGAGAGGCCAGCAAAAGGGCATGCACATGACAAAACAGTTTAACCAATAAAAGAATAATTCTTCCTCCTTCTTCAATGCAAGTGTGGAAAACGCTTTGCAGTGTAAACAGAAGTTGTCCTTGCCCAGAAAACTTGCATCTAGTTTTCATTGTGACACAGTAGGAATATATACAGCATGGCAGGACTTGAACAAGATTCCCATTTCCTACCTGGTTGTGCTGCTAATTTTGCAGAAGAATAGTTGTGTTTTAGAAACCTTTCTGAAGTGTAATATTTTGTGTGAATTTTCAAATGGTGCTTACTTGAGCAAACTGCTTTTAAACTTGTGAGCTGTTAGGGAAAACAGGTACTATTAAATTCCATGACAATTTTTTTGGCTTTTCCTCTAGGAATGATGCCTCACAATGCTACTGAATCATGAGATGCAGGATTTCAAACCTCTTATTAGCTCAATATTAAATGATCCCAAAATGAGATCAGTGCAAATTCTGCATTTAAGATATAGGAGTCTAAAAAAAAAACCCAGGATTCAAACCTGCCAGCTTCTCAAATACTGCACAGGAGTTGGGTGCATCAGCTGACCTCTTAAGGGTGTGCAGACTTATGTAGGGCTCAGATAGGGTGGCTCTGCAACTTGTTGCAAATTTCCTTCCATCCGCTGCACGTTTGGTCATACATGTTAAATAAGACTTATATTACTTTAAGATTTTCCCTCCTGTGTTCCTCGCTGCTGCTCGGTCGGTCCGTGATCTATAACATGAGCGTGCGGAACGTGCACATGCATAGTCCAGGAAAGGTCGAAGCCCCAGGTTTGTTGAAAGCTCTCTAAGCCTCACACGCTTTGTTCCAGGAAAAATAATGTTCACCTGGGAAGAACTGTGAGGTGACACACTGGCTACAAGAATGCTACTCTTGTTTCCAGAAACTGTTAAATGCTCTGGATTTACTTCTTCAGTGATGCAAGCTGAGGACTTTGTTCATACAGACCAGCTTTAACATGGCTGTAAGACCATCCTCATGTCCTGGCAGTAGCCTGAACTAAATGCATCTAGCACATACTCCATTTGGATCAAGAAATACAATGGTTAATATGTGCACGCACTTCATTTATAAATGCAGTAATCTGGACTATTTGAAAATGTATTGTTTGAGGGATCTTCAATAAAGCTGCCCCTCGGAGATAAGATGCTTTTGTTACTGGCAAACGTCTAAACTATCACAGAGCACAAAGAAAATCCCGCACTTGGAAATGCAGTCACACGGACTATTATAACACATTAAACAACATTTGCCACAATCAAAAGTATGTATAAAAAGATTAACTGGGCAGAATATATACATGTATTTATGTCTGTAACCTGCAATTGGTTTGTTAGTCTTATTTTGTCTTTTATGCTCCATGAAAATACTAGCTTGTATTTTGGTCTTTATATAAGCAAAAAGAAAGATACCGTATCAGACAATATCCTCTAAGCTTATGGGAAGACTAAGCACAGAATTGCAACTTCTAATTCCACATTAGAGAAGAATTGTAGAATTACTTACCTATCAGCAACTGATATTTTCTATACTGATTTATGACTCTCTAGCTCTATTCCTGTTTCTTTAAAATTGCATGTGACTAATGCTAACAGACTCATAAATAATATACTAGTGGCATTTGGAAAATAAAATTTCCAGAGACAAGACCGGTCCATGATTTCTTCAACCAGGAAAAAACAGGAATGTTCATCTCAGTTCCTTGAAGCACAACATATTTCTAAATTTGAAACAAATGCTGATGCTGACAGTATTGAGTAACACCCATTTCTGGGTTTTATTTAAATGGCAGAGCAACTGACAAGTAGAATATAATGAAAAGAATGAACCACTAAAGCAAACGTATTCCTAACTACAAGGATGATTCAACTTTACTAATATTCTGAGTCTCCTTTGCTGAACAAATTCATTCTTATTTGTCTTAAATCTTAACACTGGCCTTTACAGATTTATGGCCCACTGGATGAGATATCATTTAAATGAGGCATGTTCTGATTTATTCCTGCAGCTCAATATGTGCATAGAAGCACAGAATGGTTTGGGTGAGAAGGGACCTTTAAAGATACCTAGTCCACCCCTGCCGCCATGGGCAGGGCTATCCTTCACTAGATCAGGTTGCTCCAAGCCCTGTCCAACCTGACTTTGAACACTTCCAATGATGGGGCATCCACAACTTCTCTGGGCAACCTGTTCCAGTGCCTCACCACCCTAACGTATGCATATGGTAGCTCATATAGGTAACATGTAATCCACATTCTCTACCGGTACAACTCATAGATCTTAGAGCTACAGTTAAGCTAATTTAATGTGATTGCAGATGAGATTTTCAGCTAAAACAAGGCAGACAATTTCGCCTTTAACCTGCCATATTTATCCCATTACTTATAATTGAATTAGTTGCAACGTGTATTATTTGTAGCAAAATAAGCTGTGACAAATAGCTTTACTAATAAGGAATCCCCTACCCTCCTCCTTTTTGTGTATTTTTGGGGCGGGGGTGTCATTTTCCATCTGAATTTGACCATTGTTTAATTTAATCTGCTAGCTTTTGTATCCTTCCTGGATTAAGGATCCCTTTATATCATAAAGACCTCTCTTGGGTTCTTTGGGGGGAGTTTACATCCATCATTTAGTAAATCAGCTGCTCGCGATCTCAGTGGGTGTGATTTATTACCATTTCTCTAATTTTAACCCAATCCCATCTACAGCAAAACACAAGAGGAGAAATGTGGAGGCATGGAAGTAGCTACAGGACTTGTAGCTTTTCCCTAGCACAGTTTAATATTAAAAAACGCATGCCAGGTTTTCTCTGAATGCTTATGCTTTGGATAATAAGCATATTAAAAGACCCAAAAATCAAGTTATAAAATTGTTTGTTTTGAAGACTGACAAGAGAGTTGTAAGCAGAAGTCCCTAAAGCTCATGTTCTGCACCAGGAATGGACTGAGATGCCAGGGAGACCCATGCATACGTTGGCTTCACTGACATCTTGGGCTGCCGCCAATGGAAGTGCTCATCGTGATACCTACTCCGGGTATGAGTGGTGGCGCAGAAGCCATACTGTACTAACTACAGTTAAATTACTACAGTTTCATTAACTAGCATCATCTAGGAACTTTTCGGCAATAATCGGTACAGTGATGTTACCTCTCCTTCCTCAACTGCTGCATCTGTTACTAGGCGAACCTCTACTCTTTGCCCTTGCACAGCTGGGTCTGGGACTTGACACCCTCTGCTTGCTTGTATAAGTTCACCAATAGTAACAATAATAAGAGTGTTTGCATATACACACCGCTAGTGCTTTCAGCCAGGAAAGGCAACTCTCTTTTTTTTTTTTTTTAATAATGCTTGTAGAGCTGACCTAGCAAATTCTACTAGGGAGAAATAGGTAGTATTTGGCTTTTTCTCTCCAGAACTCAAAATAATGAGATCTTATCTGCTAATATGACTGAGACAGAAACTTCCTATCAAATGATGTGGTAAAAGTGTACGCCAGGGAAGTAATGCAGACTTGCTTCTGAAACGCAGCCGGTGTATCAGGAAAGCTCTGTACCTCTGACCAAGCAGGTGGAGAATATCCATGGGGCTAAAGATTAGAAAGTGTGAATTTCTGTATGAGTTTCTTTAAAAGTCAGGGAAAAAACTTGGAAAGCCTTACAGCAGTCAAGGAAACTTGGAGCTTACACCAACCCAATAAAGGGGCTTGCCAACACCACTGCTGTACTCATTTAGAGTTATGAGTAAATGGACTGAGTCATAGCCAGGAACTGAACCATCGCTTTCTCTTGAGAAAGGTAACTTCTGCAGCAATAAACTCTTTGGGAAAAAAACCAAAACTGTGTGGCATTTGAAGCATTAATTCAGCTACGTATCTCAAAATCATTTGACATTGACATTGGTATATGGGTAAACTCATGAATTCAAGTTATCCCTCACTTCCTAGTTTGATAAGCATGAGCCATGCTAGTAGGAATTAATGAAAACTTTTTGGCAATTGTTCGCTAGTTTAAGGAGGGTCTGGGTTCAAGGCCCGAAGAATCAGAAGATAAAAGGCCAATAATGAAATGATTTGTTCTTTAGAGTGTAACTTAATAATGATAACAAATATGGCAATGAGTACTGTTCCTGTGGCCTTAAAACAGTCACTATTTGGAGTCTAGACAAAACTGATTAGATACAAAACCATCAAGATCTGATACCTTGGCAAATAGCAAGGGAATTGTTGAGAAGATGAATGATACTGGAGCAGTGCCTAGCCTCAGTTAAAGACCTAATATTTTATAAAGGAAACAGCAAGAGTAATGGAAAAATGTGATTTTGATCACCATGCATGAGGCAGTCCAATCAAATCAAACTCAGCATTAGCTGTAATCTTACCTTCACAGTAGTGAAGTTGCTGCTTTCCTGGACGTGAACTAAAACGCCGTTCTCACTTCTTGTCCTGAACTTCACTTCCAAGCGGTCCGCGTTCAAGGGTCCTGGGCCGGCGCCTCGAGTGCCGTGTCTCATCATGTATTCTCGCTTCTTGTTTGGGCTCATGTGGTAGTCAAGTCGTCCTTTGCCTTCTAGCGATAAGGCAGTGTCAGCAGTAATATCTGGGACAAGGATGGGAAAGTACTGAGTACGCAGCTCATTACAGCTATAGCGATCATCTGCCTAATAACCACCATTTTCTTTCAGAGCAGAGATCAAGTTCAGAGCAGGTCAGGGGGAACAGCAGGAGTGAATGGCAATTTCAGTCCCTCTATTCTTTGGCTTCAACCAGAATGTGTGTTTGAGAGTGGGAGTGTGCTAGTAATTTACTGCTGCTATCAGTCAATAGTAAATTAAAACTCGCTAGGGAACAAGTGAGGGAGTAGGGAAAAAAAATTTGGCTCTCAGAACTGTAATTCCTTCCCAGGGATGTTACTGTTTCCATTACTGCAAGCAGGGTTTCATGATATATTGAACTCTAAGCTCTTCAGGGCAGAGATAATGACTTTCTATTTGTTATGGCATAAAAAAAAGAATAAAAAATGGCAGAGCATCGACTACCAAATGCTGTTAAAATTAGGGCTAAATTCTTTTGTAAACCGGCGCAATAAAAGCATATAAATCAGCTAAACAATAATGGGACATGTAAGAAAACAAAGCCCAGTCATTATACTACAACTACATGGAAATAAATCACTTTGCTCTCCTAGACAGTCCCGTATTGATTTACAGAGCTATCCATATGCGAGTTAATAACCCCAGAGTGCAAATGGTTTGCTTTTATTTACATTTACTGTATATTCTTGCATGTAATCTGACGGTCATTTGATAAAAAGGCCCATAGTTTGGAGAAGCCATAAGCACATGCACACAATGTTTACGTGAAGGGAAGGGTTTTCCCTTACCCTCTTACCTCCCCATAGCAGACAAATCCCTCCTTTGGGATAGCTTTATTTTAGTTACTGATTATACATTATTGGGAAGCAGTAGTTTTAAATGAGTGCAAGTTACCTGAAATGTGATATACAGACCAGAAAACCTAATATATGTAACTTGTTGCTATTTTTAGCTCATGAAAGGACAATAGTTCATTGTGGACTTTTCCTTCAAAATTATTTAAGAGGCAAGCATGCTGCTTGTTTTCATTATTTTATAAAACTCATTATCCCATGCCCCTGAAAAGAAACTCTTAATGGCATTTGGTTAAACCGTAGTTAGGTGTACATTAAAGAGAAAAACAGCAAAACCTTCTCCATACATTTCTCACAGTGCTTTCCCGTCAGTCCATCATTGCAGTGACACTGCTGCCACGACCAGTGATCAACACAGGTGCCACCATGTTGGCAGGGGCTGGTCGTGCAAGCGCCTTCTAGTCTGGGGCATCTGAAACAGATCATAAAAGTAGATGCTGAAGAACATATGCACAAATGAGCAGAGAAAATGTGCTGGGAAGTGTCCTTCCTCCCAGAAATGCAAAAATGGAGAGGCTCTTCTCCGTACACAGCTCATATTTCTAAACAGATCCTGATTTTCAGCGTCAAGATACAACAGTCTTACAAAAGAGAAAGGAATTCAGAGAGAGTGAAACTCCTGTTACCTGTTACACAAGAGAAGAAGAAACTTTCGGGTGCTTTTTATGCTGCAGACCTCCAGAGACTTCTTATCACAATGAGCAGCACAAACTTGGGGGTTGAAAGAGGAAGAGTGAGCTAGCAAATTTGGACCTAAGACTGACATAATTGCTACAACTGTGACTTCAAACACTGAGATGGAAAAAACAGTAGAATCAGATAGTCCATCATTTCTCAAAGACCACTTGGAGGATATGAGGGAAATTCAGTGATACTTGAGAGGCAAAGTGATAGAACAGACATTGTGGATTAAAAAGAAATAAGAGGGAGTAGAGGTTTAGTGAACCATATGATTACAGTCAAGCCTAGGGGAATTTATAAAGAAACAGGGCTACTCTATTTCAGCCTGCAAAGCAACATTAATAATAATTGGCAATAGAAACATAATGACATTGCTTTTTTGAAGCCTCTGTAATCTTCTGTGAACCTTTCATCCAAATTCACTTTCTTCTTAAATTTTTCACACTTTACAATAAATTCTGCAGCCATTGTTTTACAAGAAATATCTGAAGGTGTCTGAATGGAATAGCGTCTGACTTTCATGACGGCTTCCTTTATTGTAAACGCAGTCCATTCGATACCATATATAGAGACGTACCGATCTAAGATTCCTTGCGCTGCCAAAGCCTGGCTGGGCTCCAGGGGACGTCCATTGACTGCGAACTCCATTATACAGCCCACAAAATCATGGCTTTCCACCTGTCCTCTCCTTTGAAGGATGGGCTCTACAGACCTGATGCCACCAACAGTAACTCGATTTGGTTGTACATCGAGAGTCCTATAAAAGAGTCAGACATCAAGACAACAATGAGAACACAGGAACTGTAACCACCAGCTACGGTCTGCAACTAAAATTCCTCTTCCAAAATTTGTATTTTACATTTAGAAGGGGAGATAGAGAGATCAGTAGCGCTTGAACTAACAGTTATAATGGGTGTGACTCTAAATTCACACTCAGTTATTGCATGTTAAAATATCTATTCAGTTGAGTGAGCAGCATGCTTCAAATCATAATGAATAAGGTTTTTTACTCAAGTATCATTTAAATTGTAGATGATATTTAAATAGCTGGAAGATGGATTCATTATTTTACAAAGATATAACACCTTTGCTAGTGGGGAAGCCATGTGTGACAGGAAATACAACTGTGATTATTGTAAGAAATTAGCCAAAGTGATTGGGATTAAAGTTATTGTTATCTCCAAAGAGGATCTAAAGATGTGACAGAAAGGCTTCTGAGTTAGTTACGGTAAAAATAAGAAATAAGGTTTGTTCTCTGTACTGGCCAATGTTTAAGAAATGAAAACTGTAAAAGATGACATCTGGAAATTACTGAAAACAATGTCAAAGTAATTACTCTTGGGTTTTTTTAAAAAAAGAAAGCAGTAATCAGGTGATGTTATTTCTTACACCTTTAGAAGAAATGAGAAGTGCAGTTTAAATAATAAATAAATACAATACCCCAAATCAAAGCCCAAAACTGAAGACTGGAGTGAAATATAGGTGCTACTAGAGTAACAGCATTTTGAGTCTGAGCCTGGTTTTGGCAAGACAGATACGATTCAAAAGGTAAAAGTGGAGGAGGCTTTGCTAAAGATTTGTAGCACTAAATATTGTAGAACTTCAAACTGTCAAAGAGTAGTGCTGTGTATTTAAGAGCCAGGTGATTATAACAAATACATTTGTGTTTTACTGTCTAACTAAGATTTATAACTTGTCAGTAATTATGAGCACCTGATATTCTGACTTGTTAACTCTTTATAGATTATGACATGAAATCTCCTAGCATTAGGCAATAAGTCTTATCCCCCTTTACACCAGTGCAGACTACCCATGGCCATACATTTCTTGTGTGCCACCAGAGCCTTGCGACAGAGACAGAGTCGAGAACTGGGGATTTCTGAATAAACTCCTTGTCGTGAATAAACTCTATGCAGAGATGTAGCCTGAGTTAGCAAGTAGCAGCACATGTAAAAAATTTAATTTGCTTCTGCAAAAATGGGAGAGAATGACACTTCGGAGCCTTGCCTTTGCATGCCTCTGAAGGAGTGCAGCTGAGGTATCCCTTGCTTGAGATCGGGCTAAGGGCATGTAATCATTACTCCAAATTTCTCTGGCTTTAGATGGTGATTTCTTTTTCATTTTACTTTTCATTTTACTCCAAAAAAAAAAAAACCCCACAAAATGAAGAATTATTTACCAGTCAGTAGAAACAGCAACATTACTAACAGTGCAGTAGCCTGGCTCCTGATCCTCAGAGCAGGAATCCACCGTCAGTGACGCTGCCTGCAAAAGCCACACACACAAATATACTGAATATTACAAGGTTGTGGTCCCCAGCCACATTAAATATTTACCATTAAATATATTATATCACGGACTTGGCTAGAATGGAGCACTTGTATATTACTATGTCACTCGGGATCACAGGGTGCTTCAGAGCCACTGATTAACTGCATTCTCCATCAACATAGCGAACAGCAAGATGCAGATACGAACAGAGAGTGAGCTAATTGACTGCTTCATACAGAGGATCAGTTAAAGTCTTCAGATTTGGGTAGGGTTTCTTTCATGTTTGTTTGCTTTACTCCTCGAAACTGCAGTTATTTTGGCTCGTACTGTATCCTACTCTTGATCTGAACAGAGAGCTGCTCCCTCCAAACACAAAGGACATTCCTTCAGGGGCTTGACCGTGACATTAAACATATTGTTTAAACTTGATAAAAAGCACGTTACAAAAAGCTGGGAGTACAAACACTGAGCTTACTAGTTAAAACTAATAACCGACCACTCAATAATATTCAAAGAGTAACCAAGTGGACCTGATTAAGGTAACCCTTAGGCTCATATGTCATGAGGGATGTTTGCTGCACATTGAGAGTGGTGAAACACGTGGATACCTACAGTGGGACCAAGCTGATGGGACCAAGCTGATGTTCAGAGAAGTAGCAGGCATCACCAGCACTTAGAGCAATCTTCCTCTTTATTATTATCTCCAAGCCATCAATCCCCAGAAAACAAGGTTGCCTCATTACCCATCTCAGTCATTTACACTAAAGCGAATCATGGCACTTCTATTTTTAATCTCTAAAAGTCTAACCAAAGCTTTCACTAAAATCATGAAATTTAAAAAGGAGTTTTCATTTTATTCCTTATTTAGCAAAGAATTTTCCCCAAAGTGATTTATTAGTAACAGATGCGCTGCACAAAACCCCTGAAGGTTAGTTATTCCTTAAAACAAATTTTCAGAAAAATAAACATAATCTCCAAATTGTACATATCAGCTTCTCATGTTTCAGCTAGATGTGTGGTACAGTTCTACGGCAAATTTAAATCAAACGTCACTTTTAAAAATGCCTTGGTTTATATTTCTATTTAGATTACTTTACAGGAGCTGAGCAAACAGCAATAGCTATCAGTACGTCATTACTCTGCAATGGCTTTTTTTCCTGCCTGGAACTAAGTTCACTAACAACGTCCTGTTGAAATCCCCATGGATTGTCCGTGCTGTTTCCAAATACATACTGTGAGCTGACGCATTGTATTGACCAAATAAATTCATCGCTCTCAGCCCTAAGTCATGCCCTACAGTTTGCCTAAATTGTTCAATTTGCTATTTTTAATGAAAGCTTATCTTTAATTTCTTTCCATACATAATGAGCAAACTGCTTCTCTGGAGAAATGCCAGTCTGCAATTCCAAAGCAGATTATATGCCCTGTATAAATGCAACAATTCATAGAAAGAATAATAAGCCGGCTGGTCTGTATGCCATCACACACATACATATTTTCCTTCTGAATATCAACAACAAAAAATGAAATGAGTTTTTTGTTCTTAGCTCAATCAGTGTAATCTCCCTAACTTACATCGCTATGCACTGCGAAAGCCAAGCTACATCCCCAGCTGAAGGGCTAGATATTTGAGAATATATTTTACTTGGACCAGAGTTCATACAATTTGTTTTCTAATGTTAGTCAAATGTTCCTGCTTGTTACTTAAGCATTACTCTACGGTTACCTTGCCGCATTATGAGACTTTCTATCCTGTCACTCTGCAATAGCTCAGGACTGACAACTTAATGATTTTACCAGTTTCCGATAAAATCCCACTGTGCTGTAGGAAATGACAGATTTGGAATCCTGAAGGGGGGCTATTTTATACAGTTTTGGACACGTGGGAGACATTTTTCCTGTAGCAGAAATATCTAAGACAAAGGCAATTCTTTTCACATACTGTGTTTGTAAACAGCTGACATTACTGAGAAGGTTTAAACAAAAAAAAAAAAATCACACAAAGGTATAGGTTGTCTTAAATGTTTGCTTTCAGCCTGAAGCATTCAGAACTGAAATTTTCTGTAAATAGTCCTTTTTACGTTATCGCTTCTTCTATAGTCTAGCCCTCTGGCATATCTACAAGTAAAACGTTTTCCTGCTCTATTTTTTTCTTAAATACGTTTCATTTATTTGTTGCAATTTTTAATGTGTGCTCCTATACTTAGCCATTTAAATCTTCTTGATAGAAATATCACACTAATGTAGTTGCTAAAATGGGAACCTGGTGCCTTTCAAGATTTAGGTGCACCTTTGGGCTTAACCATTTGGAAGCCGTGATGTGAATTATTAAATATCTGATATTAAGGTACATTAAAACAAAGTCATTACTCAACATCCCAATTATCCTTCATCTTATTTGGATATATAACTCATACAAACGCACACAAATTGGATTTGCAAATCCAGCTGAAGACTAAACCATCAACCTTCAATAAATGGAGAAATCAGGTCTTGTACTATGCAACTGAAATGCAGTTTCAGGCTGAAGACTCTCTAAGAGAGAAGCAAAAAGCACCATTTAGGAAGGTCAGGAGACAACCCTGGTCCTACAAAGAGCCCCAGACCACAAGGTAATACATCCCTCTGCTGCTCTTGGGCCATTTGTGCCCATGGACATCTCACCTCAGACCTGAAACTCTTCAGCAGGGTGCTCCAAATGGAGCAGCTTAAAAATATGAAAGGGCTGTATCTCGGCAGCACTGCCTTCTGCAGCAGATCGTGACAGGAAATCTCTACAAGGACTCAGGGGGAGCCACACTGGGTAGAACAGTTTATTCTTTTATTCCCTACATCACTTCTGGCTTGAAATACCTAAAACAAAATGTGGAGCCCCAACCATATATTATTCTTATATGACTTTAATTTCAAACATGGCAAGAATATGGGATTCCACGTATGCTGGCCATTTCTGCCTGAGAAGGGAGCTGTTGGGCAATAGTTACTGATTATGGATGGCAAATAGATTTGGTTTCATTTCTAAATCAAACACTGTGGAGTCAAAAAGCTTGGCTTGAACTCAAAGAGCATTTGGTTTATGTTCTGCTTTGGAAATATTATTAAAAATGAGAGAAGAGGAATAGAAAACATGTACTGGAAAAAAACCCAACAAAATGAAGGCAGGAGAGGGGTCAGAGTAACAGGCATATGGCAATCAGTTGTCCCAGTCCAGTTTTTGGCAGAATTCCTCCCCTCAGATGCTTTCTGGGGGACAAAAAGAAAAGTAACTCCCCTCCTTCTCCCCAAAAAACCCTGTCAATGTAGCACCTTTGAATATTTTATATGTATGCTACAGAGGAAAACCAGGCTTCCAGTCTGATGAGATTGGTAAAATCTCTGAACTAGCTCAAGGAGGTCAGGGACACTTGGAATTTTAAGTTTGTCTGCTTCTGTTTTCCAAATGTTGAGAAAACTTGTTTTGAGGCTTTTTGTCGTTACTATGGTTAATTTTCTTTCCCTGATAATCATCCCTGTAATGTGCATCAGTTAATTAGCTTCATCTGTAGTAATTTATTTCATTAATTATTCCTGGTTGCCATTTTTCGCATTTAGAGTACAGGGTGTTGCACATGTTTTTTTAATTATTCTTTATCATCATCATACTAAACAAACCATTATAGGTCTTTGAGTCAGTTGGAGTAAGACAGAAACAAGAGAGTTTTTTTCCAAAGTTGGAGGTTCTGCTAGCAAATGCAATGTTACTAATTTTATGTTCCTCTGAGTTCCTGTGGAAGCCAAAGTGACTTGGCTGAACTTGTCTTAAATTCTCGTTTTAGCATTTCTTACCATTCCAGCCCTCCGGGCAATAACTGTGTGAAATTGTCCATCAGACACCTTCTTAGTTGTGGTAAGCTTGTATGTGCCACTGCCAAGATTGTAGGAGAATCTCAGCCTCTCTTCTGCTATTTCCAGGGCCAGAAATTCTGCCCGTTCTCCGGTTTGGTTATCGTAGTTATACAACATTAAGGCATTACTTTTTATAGTGGCAAACTTTATATAGATGTAATTATTGTTTGGATCCATACTGGGAAACTCCATATATGACAACTCTTCAAATCCATAACTGTTCAGTTCACAATGATTCCCAAAAACACCTGCAAAGTGAAAAGCAAAATGTGGTATCAGGTAGTTTTTTCCTTACTGAGCATTCTCCCAGAAACAAAGTACTGATGTGCTCTAGATAGGGCTATGATACACAGGCTCTTTAAGAAACCTCTAATGTGTGATTAAAAATATGCAATTTGAAGAGAAGAATCCTATTACCCACAGCTGGGTGTTGAAGTATGTATTTTTAAACTAAAAAATTGAGTTACAAATGACAGTTACCTCTATTGAAAAACAAAGTGCAGTTCATTGAGCTCTATGGTTTCTCTAGCAAATAAAAAAAAGTGAGTTTGACAGCTATGTCAAATATGGTTGTTAATTATCACCAGGCATTTGTTAATCCAGTTATGGAAATAAATTTGCAACCTGAGTTTATTTTTCTCTTTATAGCTGTTATCTGAACTGTTTCTCAATTGGTGGTTCATTTTTTATACTTATGATATAAGCATATGTGTGACTAAAACATTATGACTTCTTGTGTTGTATTGATCTGAATATTATGATGCATTCTACATTTCTTTTCAGATCTCCGTCACATAATTTCCCTTGATTTCTTTTACTGCAGCTTCAATGAGAAAAAACTTAGTTAATTTATGAATATTAGTTATATTTACAATGGACTATGACTATATAGGAAATTAATAAAACTCTGAGGAAATGTAAAACAAAGGAAATAAAACAGAATAAAGAAGTTTTTCCACATGTTAGTAGAAAACCATATTCAGAGGTAGTTACAAATGTGTACTGAGAACCCTACTTTTGTTTGAGGGTTTTCAGCGGCCTTAAAACATTGTAGATCATTTCTCAGGTTTATCTGTTTTTTGATTAATCTGTTGTATTTACTTTCATGCTTTTCTATATGAACAATGACAATTCTGGATTAATCTGCATTCAGAACCAATCTTGCTGCAATTCTATCATGCTACCTTAAAATATCTGTGTTGTTCTGTGTTTTTATTGGGTTGATTCCACAAAGCAAATTTGGGATAATTAAATTCTAATAATTATTGAACTATTTTGGCAGTACTATATTATTCTCTGATTCTCGGAATAGGACTCTGGTTTTGGAACTCAGAACTTTATTAACATACAATAAATGGAACGGGCAAGCACTGGTGTGGGCTAACAAAGCTGTTTTGATTCGGTCAGGTTCCCTTAATCAAATCTACTCAATATAAAAGTGCTGATATCTAATGTCATGCTCCTCACTTGCAGAAAAATGTGGGTGCTCTCTAATTCTTGCTTTACGGTATTTTGACAAATTATGCAAGTTTCTCAAAAGAAAACCAAGCCCTCTGCTCAATATCATCCCAAAGTCCCTTTTTGTAGTTTAACATTATGACGACTTCCTCACACTTTGCAAGGGCGTGGGATGCAAGAATACGGATGTTATTTAGGGTGGTCTTACTCTTCAGCTCTCCTACAAGTGTCTGTTACTGGGCAGGGGAGCACAGTGAGCCCCCACGCCACCACGTGCCTCCATCTCCTGCCACGCTGGCAGAAATAGCGGCTTCTCCCTCTCGCAGCTAGGGAAAAATGGAGAGGACAGGGCCAGGAGATGACCAATACCTACCCATGGACCAGGATCCATATAGAATCATGGAATGCTTTGGGTTGGAAGGGACCTTTAGAGGCCATCCAGCCCAACCCCCCTGCAGTGAGCAGGGACAGCTTTAACCAGACCAGGGTGCTCACAGCCCTGTCCAACCTGGCCTGGAATGTCTCCAGGGATGGGGCATCTACCACCTCTCTGGGCAACCTGTGCCAGTGCTTCACCACCCTCATTGTAAAAAATGTCTTCCTTATGTCTAGTCTAAATCTATTCTTCTTTAGCTTAAATCCATTATTCCTTGTCCTGTCACAACAGGCCTTGCTAAAAAGATTGCCCCCACCCTTCCTGTAGGCCCCCTTTAAGTACTGGAAGGTCTCAATAAGGTCTCCCCGCAGCCTTCTCCTCTCCAGGCTGAACAACCCCAGCTCCCTCAGCCTGGCCTCGTAGGAGAGGGGCTCCAGCCCTCGGATCATTTTGGTGGCCCTAATGTACACACCCATTGGTTTTATGCAGGTAAAAATAAATACTGATTTGAGAAACATTAATAGGGAAAGGGAAGAGCAAGCAGGGAGGAGGAGAAGCGTACTCACCGAAGGGGCAGTGGCAGTAGTAGCCCTCCACCCCGCTTTGGCAGGATCCACCATTGAAACAGGGGTTGCACTCGCAGTAATTGACAGTGGCGTCGCACGTTTTCCCTGCGATTAGGGAATAAAGGCAATTTCCAGGTCAGAGTATTCAGGTCAACAAGCAAGTCGGGCTGGTATTTAAGTAACGACCTTATGAACCGAGCTGAACGCGTGGCCAGGAGGGAGGGTGCCAGGGACCAGCTGCAGCTGCGGGACGGACAGAGGAAACACAGACACGATGCTGGGCGGCTCCAGCCCTGACACAGGCACAACACGTGGCCCAGACAACTTAACTTGGCTTTTCAAGTGCCTCTCTGTAATTATCTCATATAGGTATTGGTGGTTTGGTTTTTCTTTTTTTAAAAACTTTTTTTTTTTTTATTAGCTCGTGTTCATAAAAGAGAGATCATGAAATGAAAGGAAATGCTGAACTAGGGAAAAAAAAAAAAAATTACCCCCTATTGAATGCAATGTACTCATTAGCGTGAAGGAGATACAGACAGGCCTTGCTTGACCCTGTATGAACACGGCATGCTGAACACAGGCTGCTATTGTACATTATATGATTTTTCTTATTTTTCCTCATCAATTACAACCTCCTTCCTGACTCGGAGGGACCACAGTCCTCTGGAGCTAAAACAAGTTACCCTGGATACAGTCCTTTTCTAAGCAGACATTGTCACATGTGGTAAATATTATCCACCAGAGAATAAACTGAAATCACATAATTCATTTCAACAAGGAAGGGAACCAAAAGAAAAAGTTAAGATTTTAACAGATGCCGAATACCGACAAGGGGACTCTTTATACGAAACCAAAATTTTCTATGTACGGAAACATTCACTAAAGTATTGGTCTTCACTTCTAAGTTTTTCATTGCTTAGCTTTTATCAGTATAGCAACCCTTCACTTATATGCTACTCTTGGTACCTGCTTCCCATCTGCTAGCAGTGCCAGCCTTTGCTGCCTGCTCAGCAAAAACTTGAAAGTATCATGTTCGCCCCTCATGTTTCACTGCAAAAACTGGCAAAATCAGCCATGCTCTTCCAGACCCCTCCTTGAACTTCATCTAGGCCAGGATATATACACATAGCAAAGGCTAAGACCGCCTTAATGCTTCTTATGGCACTGATAATGAATTTTTTTATTCCTCACACCGTATAAATATAACATACATCCAAGTTAAAAGTACAACATGAGCTTGCATAGAGGGTGTCCATTCTTGTATGTCACATGTATCTTACACACACAATTCTTACATCTCACATGACAGCAATGCACAATATGCAGTCCTTAGGGGTTGCTGGTCCCTAAAACTGTAGAAAATCAGGACTGTGTTATATTAACTCTGCTAGCTTTTTCAGAATTTCACAACTTCAGTCACCTAATTAAAAAAACCCTCTTTTTTTTCCCCTCTATTTTTCTGTTTATCCTAAAGAAGTTTGCAGGCGGTTCTTCCATGTGAGCAGTAGCCCTCCATCTGTGACTGCAAGCAGGATGGAAACGGAGCGCTGGAGGATTCCTGTGGTTAATATGTAACTTGTAGATTCACCATAAATCCAGGAAACATTTCCAGTGTCTGAATCTAATTATACTTTGGGGGTATTTATTTATATTTTATTCTCTAATGGGCATGACTGAAGGATGAGCTAACTTTTAATGTTAGATTTTGCTGTTTTCTTTATTTTAAAATTATGGTACATAGTACAGATCTTTGACTTACAGAGCAGAACATGTAGCAAGACTGAGGAAAAGATGCTTAAAATAGCTCAATGACGTTTCTTAGTTTTCACGAAAATCAAGTGTCACTAATAAGGCTTACTCAGTTTTTCGCAACTCATTCTAACTAAATACTCTTCTTTTTCTCAGCTAACATTAAAGCTGGCATATTTGCTGAATCAGCGACAGAATATGGGTATTTATTTTAGCTGCACAAATTTTAACCAGCAAATAACAACATCTTCTTCATATTTAACAGTTGTTTGAATAATTCTTGAAACTAATAAAAGTGTGTTTGCATTTTTTCCAACTGTTTTGACACAGGAGAAGACGAATACTCTGATTTAACAATTCATCAGAGCTATTAAAACTAATATTTATTAAAAATGAAGAACAAATTTCAGCTATTCTTTGCCATTCCCTGAAGTGCTAAGGACCTGGGAAAAATGTATCTATTTACATTTGGAATAATGATTCAACAAAAGATGTCTATGAAGCTTATTTTTCCTCTTTAAATGCATGTTAAGCATGCTTATCCTAGAAAGTAAGAGTCCTTCAGCCAGATATCAGCAGGACAAAAGTATAACTTGGGAATACTATTCAACAACTATAGTTCTGTATAAGGATTTAAAATAAATTACTTTGATAAAGCAAGATCATTAGAAAAACCTGGTAAACAGATGATAAGAGTTATAAACTGGAGACTGATAAATAAATAAGTAGGTAAACAGTATAATATAATGTCATATAACTACCAAAAGAACAGAAACTTATTTTTATTTAGTACATAACTCATTTTCAATTAAAAAAAAAATCCTGGCATGACAACCTAAAACTGTTAAAGACATCTGTTTTCCTGGTTTAAGATAATTTTTAGATATACTTTTTCTTTCTTCTAAAAGATTCCAACTCTCCTGAATTTACTCTATGCGTATCCCTCCAGGCAACCCTACCTACCAATTACTTTACATCAGCTTCTTCTGAAGACACTTGCTGCTACAAAGCCTCATTCCCTCTTTTCTGCAGAATCCTGAACTTCATCAATTCATCCAAATTTCCTGCTACCTTCAGATTTTTGGTCAGTCCCTCCTTAGACTCCTCTGTGACAGAAACTCTCGCGCATTCCTTGTCCGTCCTCTAAGGAAAGGTCTCCGTATGTCAAGCTATTATTGGCAGCCTGCATTGGTTACTCTGCTGAGATCCAGAGAGTTGTTATCAACTCCTGGTTTTTGGGCGTTGAACACCAGCGTTCAAACTGCACCTTCTTACTCTTCCCTTCTCATCTAAAGCACGTTCCTCCTGTGCTCCTATTTTTTCCCCCTCTGTTGTTATTGCCCAGACTTGGTTGGCAGAACTGGAACTTTCTAGACCTCTGAACAAGGACATATAGTCCAGAAATAATAGAAAAAGTTAGGCTGGAGGGACCTTGGAGGTCATGATGTCAAACCCCCATTCAAAGCAAGGCAACCTTCAAAGTTAGATCAGGTTCCTCAGGGCTTTACCAAGCAGGGTTTTTCTCTTGTTTGTCTTTTCTTCACCATGGGGATTCCTCCAGGTAAGTTGCTGTGATACCAGTTACAACGGGTACCAGTTACCACCGGTCCTGCAACTTCTACTAAACTTCAACATTTTTCTTTTAACACCTTATTCTTCTAGCAAGTAGAGCCATCCAAGATGGCAGCAGGTTGTTCTACCACTTGCAGTTATCTCTCTTGCAGCATGCTAATGCTAGCTTTCCAGTACCTCAGTAAAAGAGTGTATTTAATTGTTCAAGTCCACCCTGATGGCCTACTGGTCTCACAGGTTACAGACACAATAAGATGTGTACTAAAGATTTAGATTTGGAAAAAGAAAACATAGCTTGCAAACCCATTGCTTTTGCTGTTCCGCCTAAGATATTATGCTTAGAGACTATTTTTTGTGGAGAGCAAAAAAAAGAGAAAAAAGTTTCAGAGAGGACTGTTTTTCTTGAGTAGAGAATTTACACAAGTACTAGCTATTTTGAAATTCTCTCTTGCACAGGTAAATCATTCAAAGAACTTTACTGGATTGAAGAGGATAAGAAACTGTTTGCCACTATGCAGAAAAGCATCCTCACTTGAACCCAAGTGCAGAGTTTTACTGCGTTCCAGAAAGATAATGCCAATAATCTTAACCTCACAAAAATAGAGTATTTCTGGTTTTCAGAGGTCGTTTTCCAACACAGTCTGCTGATTTAAGTTTTACAACATGAATTTAAGAGTAATGTTCTGATAGACCTTTATCCCACCTAAATAATGTGCCTTGAAAAATGATGAGATGTATGTGCTTTCATGGCCTATGCAAGTCAGTTTTCAAGAAGCATTTTCACACATTCAGACTACTATGCACTTCTCAGCTGGGGAATAATTTTATTTGGACAGCGTAAAGAATTAGGCTAATCATATATGCTTGATTAGCGTTTCAGGGTATCAAATCCAGTGAGGGGAAGGAAATGCCTCAGCCAGTGTTTTGGGAACCAGGAAGACTCCAAACCAGAGCCACCCCAGTAACACTCCAGTTCAGGTGAACGTTGCAGTTAGTTGAGCTTATAGATCTCTTCTAGCTGAAATATTCAAAGATTCGGGGTATTAATTTTTGTGTCAGAAAGATCTTTTTCTGAAGACCACGAAAATTAGGATAATGCTGGATAATTGATAACAGAGAGCATTCAGCATTTATCATTCATCACCTCAAGTTGATGATATCACATGCAGAGGCTTATGCAAAAAACTAACTTCCTGAGAATTTTTTTTTTAATTGAAAAATGTAACAGGAACAGATACCAGCTGAACGCTCTTGGGTTAGATTTCAGCTGATTTGAGAGTTGTAGTTTTTGTGGTTCTCTGTATCCATCTTTGGTTGTTCTAACATTTTAATCTTGCATTTGAAACAATTTCACAAACCTACATTCCTTCATCTTAATGACTCCTGGAAAATAGGAAATGAAGGGTTCAAAGGAAGGGCAGACAACTACTGTAAATCACAAAGTATATTCCCTTCAGAAAGTGATTATTTTAAAAACAAAACCTGATCATCATTAAGAGATGTAATTATAACAGATTGTTTAAACCCTAATGATGTTGCTCTGAGGTAATCATTCTTTATAATCCTATTCAGTGAAAAGAACTACATTACCTTTACAGTATGATGAAGTGAAATGCAGCTGACAAAACATAATAAATCAAGGAAAAGTAAGACTCTCAGTTTTCAGGTAGGCTATTATAAAGGTCTACAGCTCATGTACTCTAATTTACGGTGAACAGAGAGTCTGTCTCAGGAAATACTAATTTCTAGTTGTATGCAGTACCATGTAAATATTATTTTTTTTACCAAGCATGCAAATTCAATTATGAGACGGTACGTTCATTCCAAGAGAAGCAGCAAAGCTATGTATATGGTAAACTGAATTAGAAATTCACTATTTTGGATGTCTCTTTCTTTTTGCTGCACTCAAGGTTTATATTCATAAAGAAACAGTTTCAGGCTTTGTTTTCACATTCACTATGGCTATCTTTAATCATATATGAATCAGGATTAAACGCCCAAGCAGCTGTGTTCTCTTTCTGTTGGCAGTATAATAATGATGTAATAGTCTCTATGTCAAGCATTCTCAAACAATCTGTATTCTGACATTTGCTTGCAGAACTTATTGAATATTAAATTTGCAGAGTTTCAAATATGCTTTTGCAGACATAAAATGTCTAAATATACTGAATATTAATTGTGATCTTATCTAACAAGCTCTGCTGATATTCAACTCCAAAGATACTTTGGTTTTTAATTAAATACTTTTGGTGCCTTTTGTTTTCTGTCTTCTTCAATCCAGACACTTAAATAATTCTTGATTCTGCAATGGCCAACCGATTTAAAAAGATCTGACTCCCAAACAGAAACGTCTGCCCCAGTGGTAGTCCATTTTAAAGTTATTTGTGCTGACAAGGAGTTTAAGAAAGCTCACATCAGATGCCACATTTAATCCATGGCATGAAAAAATCCAACACTTCAAACTGTAAGAGTCTCTCATCACATTTTCTTACTTAAAACGTTCTTCTTTTTTCAAGCTTGTCACATGCAGAGCTTTATTTTTAGCTGACATACGGGTTGAACATTAAGATATGAACTTTAATACCAGAAAAAATTAGCTGGACGTTTCTTTAATGTTTCAAATTATGGGCTAGAGGCATACACCATAGTATGCTGCTAGAGTTAATGAAGTGTTTTGCTTCATTGCAACAGCAAACATATGCCCATGTAATCTCTGGTGCTAATGACCTAAAGAGTTACAGGGGATAGGTCCCTTAGAATTATTTTGCCATGCTTCTGGCAAAATAATTTGATGTACTAATACAACATGAAATAAAATCCTGGATTGGTAACTTAATTAGAACCGCTTGTCAATTAACAATAATTGCTTCTGACCTGAGGCTCAGTAGTACATTTGTGAGGCTCACACAAAAGATCACATCAGTGTCCTTGATATCAACAGACCTTTCAAACTGAGTATGTATTCACTGCTGTGGCTGTGTTTTAAATGAAGTAGTTAAACCTTTACTTTGAAATTGATTAACCTGCTCCTTTGCAATAAAGTGTATCACATCTCCTGGTTTAAGAAAAAAAAAAATCACCAATCTGGTTTAAGAAAAAAACCAAAAGAACCATCAACCTCCTGATCACTCCACTGGTTACAAATGAGTTTTGGTGGCAGCGGTGGCAAGCCCGAATACCCACACCGTAATGAGCCCGGCTGTACCGACCTGGGCTGCCCTGGGGCACCTGCAATACAGAAACACTCCTCAGAAAAGGTAACAAAAGCCTTACGTAATATTCTCTGCTTAGATTTTTTTACAATGTCTGTAAAAACTGGCCATAAGCAATGCTTAAAATTGTTCAGACCTTCCTTAAATATCAGACTCGTGACAGAAGCAAACATCCGCCTGCTTTTCTAGGGATAAAACGCTGCTATGTTTGAATGCGTAATAAACATTAGAGAAAAAATACTCAGAAGAGGTAGAAATGTTGCAGACATTTCCGCTGTTAACGAAAACAATAAATGACAAAGGGACAAAATACAGAACAGACATGCTTGATCATTTTGCCCCAATTATGTTTTTTCCAATATCCTTAATCTCTTTTCTGTCTTGTATAACTGTAAGCAATTTGGGGCAGAGGCCGATTTTCTTGCTTGGCACACTCCTAGCAGACTTGAAATGCTATCACAATATGCGTAACAATAACAAGAACAGAAAAATCATACTTGAGCACTGGAAATGGTTTCTACATATTTAATAAATTAAAATAGCTCTCGTAAAAATCTTTCTGTTCTAATGCAAATCAGGAAAGTGAGATTTGCCTGAGGACAGAGATAAAATAAAGTAATACTGTGGGCACCTGGTCTTCTGAGTTTTCATAACTAAAAATACCTCATTTTGTGCGATCTCTTCACCTATTGGGGATGCTCATATTCATAATCTTGTGCTAAAAAGGCACATTTCTGCCCTCTTTCCATCTCTTCTGGACTGTAAGACACAGAGAAGTAAAAGCGTACCTGTATACCCGGTTTTACAAACGCAGTTGAAGCTTCCTGGGAAGTTCTGGCAGGCAGCACCGTTTTTGCATGGGTTGGAAAGGCACTCGTTGACGTCCCTCTCGCAGGCCATGCCAGTGAAGCCCTCTGGGCAACTGCAGGAGAAGCCCCCCACCAAGTTGTGGCAAGTCCCGTCGTTGTGGCAGGGGGAAGGGAGGCATTCGTCGATGTCCATCTCGCACAGACTCCCATCGTACCCTGGCATGCACCTGCACACGAAGGGCCGGAGGGGCTCGTTGGCCACGATGATGACGGGGACGCTCTCGTGGCTCTTCAGAGCCGGGCCCACTGCCAACCTCCGCAGGCAGCTCCCTCCGTTCTGGCAGGGGCTCTGCAGGCACCAGTCGTGGTCCACAGCCTCGATCCGCACCCCGCTCTGGCGGAAGAGGACATCTTTGATGCTCTCAAAGAAGGTGGCCACGCCGCTGGGATTCACGTACTGGTTGTTGCCGCGTTTGACGGCTGCCATCAGGAAGGTGTGGTTGCTCTCCTCATACAGCCCGTAGAGCTGGATGGCGGTGCCCAGCCCGGTCAGCTGGGAGCTAGCGATGCGTAAGAAGTGGAGATAGTGATTCGTCAGGAAATCCCGCACGCTGTGGGTGCTCAGGCGGAGGAGGATGCTGTTGTCAATGGTGGCATTGCCGAAGCCCGTGAAGAAAATGCGGATGCTGCTCGTGACGGCACCATGCAGCCCATCGTTGCTGAGGACAGCCAGGTCAAATGTGCCATCCGTGGACCTTGCCTGCGAGTGCAGCTCACAGGTACCCCCAGGAATGCTGAAGAGGCTGGTGACTCCTGAGGTGAGGGAGCACTGGAAGCTGTCTAGCACATCTGGATCTTGCGGCTTTACGTTGCCCAAAATTCCACCTGGGAAGAGGTTGCCATAATAGTGAACAAAGATTTCTACCGTTCTGGGCTGAGACGGGTTGTCGTTTTGGTCTATTACCTTGATCTGCACAGTTCCTGTGGAAGACATTTGAGGAACGCCAGAGTCTCTCGTAACCACCGACAGGTAGAAATCGCTGATTTGCTCCCTGTCGATCTCTCTTGTCGTTGTCAGCACGCCAGCGGTGCTAAGGCTGAAGTAGCTAGTTGCGGGACCAGTGCTGAGCAAGTAATATGTAAAGGGACCTTGGTTCGGAGGGAGATCAGGATCTGACGATTGAAGCGTCATCACAAGCGTTCCCGCACGGTTATTCTCCATGACTTCTCCTTGGCTGGTGGACAAAGTAGGGCCGTTGTCGTTGATATCTTCCAAAGTTACCAATAAAGAGGCACTTCCTGTAGCAGATGGCGTTCCCGAATCGATGGCCAGCACAGACAGGTTGTACACAGGCAACGTTTCTCGATCCAGCTCTGCAGTGACCGTCACCTGTCCTGTCTGGGGATTGATGGAAAAGGCACTGTTGTTGTTGCCAGACCCAATGAAATAGGAAAACCTGCTCCAGCTAGGGACAGAATCTGAATCAAAGGCACTCACGAACGTGACATGGGTGCCTGGAGGAACACCCTCACTGATTCGTATATTGTAGGTTCCCAAGGTAAAAACGGGAGGATCATTGGCATCCAGTATAGTGATATTAACAGTTACTTCATCTATATCTGCACCACGAATGCTCCCAAAATTTTTTGCAAGGACTTTCAAAGAGACGCGTTCTTCTTTTTCTCTGTCGAGAGGTCCTGAAACATAGATCTGGCCACTTTTCTCATCTATCTGGAAGCCTTTCTTTCTGCTGTTGCCAAAGATAAGGTAGTGGACTTCTCCATCAGTTCCCATATCACGATCACTTGCAAAAACTTCACCTACAACAGTACCTTTGGAGGCTGCCTCAGAAACCTCAAAATAATAAAGCTTGGACACAAAACGAGGCACATATTCATTTGTCCCTTCTAACTGGATGTTGACACTAGCAAAGCTGCACCTCTCTTCATCCGGAACATTAAAAGCCTTTACTGTTAAATGGTAACTTTGCTTTGTTTCATAATCTAAAAATCCCTGGGTGGTGATCGTTCCTGTATTGGGATCAATGACAAAGAGGTCACTATCTGAGGACTGAATAGCATATGCAATCACAGCGTTAGGTCCAGAGTCAGCATCAGTGGCATTTAAACGAATAACAGTTGTCCCACTGGGGGCATTTTCTAACACGTTGGGAAAGTAGTCCTCAGGGCTGAATGCTGGAGAATTATCATTCACATCAATGACATTTACAGTGACACTGCAGTAGCCTGTTCTGGACACCCATCCTCCATCCGTGGCAGTAACAACGAGCTCATGCTTTTGGCATAACTCAAAATCGAGTGGTTTTGCTAGTGTCAGCGTACCGGTAGTTGTATTAATAGCAAAGACGCCAGCCTCATTCCCAGAGGAAATATTATATGTGATTAGTCCGTTCATAGCGGCATCTCTGTCTCGGGCTGAAACCGTCCTGACCACTGTTCCAACAGAGTGACTCTCCGGGATAGTAACGCTCATGCGGCTTTGAGAAAACTCAGGCGTATGGTAATTTTCCTCTGTTACTACTATTTCAACAGCTACCTCGGATGAGAGTGGAGGATTACCTTTATCCTTTGCTTTCACTTTAAAGAGGAAGTTTTTGTTCAAATCAGCCATTAGTGAAGATGACACAGAAATCCAGCCTGTACTCCTGTCCAGCCTGAATTTATTAGTTTTGCTTTCATCAGAGATAAAGTACTCCACTTCAGAATTCAAGCCAAAGTCTTTGTCATCCACTGCAGTAACTTTAATTAAGTTTGTGCCAACTCTCACGTTCTTAGTAACAGGAGTAAAGTATTTATGAGTGAGGAACAGCGGCGCGTTGTCGTTGCTGTCTACTATGTTAATGGTGACCGTTGTCTCGCTCATTAACGGAGGACTGCCTCGGTCTGAAGAAGTAACGATGAAGCTGTGCCTATTAATGTTGACATTGCTTGAACCGCTGGAGTTTTGGTACCTTAAATACTGCTTGTTGAAAATTTCCCCTGTGGTTGCATTAATTCGGAAGAACTCGGACTGGGATTTTATGAAGTAGAAGACTTGGCCATTCGACCCTTCATCGGGATCGGTGGCTGAAACCTGGGTGACCTTCAACCCAATCCCAGGAAGTTCGGGACACTCCAGGTAATAGGATGGCTTTGTAAATCGTGGGGCATTGTCGTTGACATCTGTGACAAATATGGTGACATCCGTGCTCACTGTCCACCCGGAGTCATGCGCAGAGACCCTGATTCTGTAGCGGTCTGTGTCCTCCCTGTTTAGTGGTCTGCTGATGGTGATGTCCCCAGTGCTGGGATTTATGGTGAACGGGAGACTTGTATCCCTTATGGAGTACCTGCTGACTGCGTTCACCCCAATGTCTTCATCTGATGTCGTGACTCGGCTTACCGTAAAACCCAGAGGTGCATTTTCAGGCACAGAAGCACTGAATATCTGGGAAAACCTTGGAGCATTGTCATTTTCATCTAAAATATTAATGATAACTTTAACCGTCGTGCTCTGGAGCGGGGTGCCTTTATCTGAAGCTTTTATGGTTAGTGTGTATCGAGACAATTTCTCCCTGTCCAAGGGTCTGACACTTCTGATCTCACCAGTGGCTCGATTGATACTGAAACTATTTTCTGTATTGCCCTCAATTATTTCATAATTTACCTCTCCATTTAGACCACTGTCCCTGTCAACAGCAGCCACCGTCAGTATCTTCCGTGGGGACAGGTTCTCCACTATTTCTGCAATGAAGGGGTCTTGCTCAAACTCTGGCGCGTTATCATTGACATCTATCACCGTTACTTCCAGTTTCTTATATGAGGAAAAGGGAGGAAAGCCCGTATCTCTGGCCTCAATCCAAACCACGTATTTCTGTATGGCTTCGAAATCGAAAGCCCGCCCGACAGAAAGCTGTCCTGTCACCTGGTCGACCAGGAAGGTGCTGCCCAGGTTACCACTAGCAATGTAGTAAGACAAGGAGCCTCCTCTGGCTGAAGTCCCGGAGACAGTGGTGACAAGCGTACCGACTGCTTGGTTTTCAGGAAACGTGAAGGTCTCCTGATCCGCCTGAACGCGAGGAAATTCTGCTCTGTTCACAAACCTCACGGTGACAGTTGTAGAGTCTGTCTTGGGGTACCGGCCTCCATCCCTCACATGAACAGAGATGGTGACTTCAGACTCTCCTGCCAGCAGGTTTGCAGCCAGGATTGCCCCCCTTGCTGGGTCGATGTGGAATTTCTCGGAGTTTTTCCCCATGAGGGAATAATGGAGCTCAGCATTGGAGCCAGCATCTGCATCGGTGACAGTCACAGCAAACACAAACGAGCCTGAAACGGAGAACAAAGTTAGGGCATCTTCAAATGCACCGATCGTGGGAAAGGTGATGCCAGCTTTTCACTCAGAAGCACTCGGGAGGGTCACCCTCCCCAAATTCATCCTGGAGCAGTATGCTCTTCTTCACGCTGCTCTGAAATGAACTGTTTTTTTCACAAGGTAAGTTAAGCAAGGGGTAGGTGAGTTTGTGAGCCTGCAAGACACGCACAGGGCCAAAAAACATGGGGTTGAACAGATGTCAGTGGCTGCACATACATCTGCACCAGAAAATGGACCTGCAACTTTTTGGAAGTCTAGCATCCCATTTCTAGAACATTCACATTCTGAAAGCCATAAATCCTGTAAATTTGAATGATATTTTGATTTTTTTTTTCATTACTCATAGTTTATTTATCCATGTAAAAAAAACCCTGGAATCCAATGACTTACTTCAGCTTACGTAAGTGAACAGGAAGCACCCATGGACATTTACCCTAGACACCCGCCTTCCCTTGCAGCCCCTTTTCTTCCTGTTCCCCAGATGCTGCTCCTTTCCCCCAACAGCCTCACTTATGATTTTGTAAGAGTATTCTGAGGGCAGTAACTAATGGGAGTGCATTTGTAAAAGCATGCTGGTCTGCTGAGATAGAGGTAAAATCACATAGAAATACAAAACTATTGCACCCTAGTGCAATAACATGAATATATTATGTTTCAGGTGTTTCAAATTTATGCTTCAAAATGAGTTTGACTGTATGGGCGTCATTTGCATTAACTTCTACATTTCCCTATCTGCCAGGAGAATCCAGAGTGTTCTTTTGCACTGGAGTTTACAGATGTAATGCACAGCATGTCTTTCAAATTTGACACTGTCCAACCAATTTGCAGAACGCTCTGTTGATGTTTTACTGGTCCTGAAATTTAGAAAATACCCACTCCTGTATAAAAATCATGTTGTTTTCAACCTCTTAAGGCAAAATCATTTACAGGCAGGAATGACTTTGACAGCATTCCCTTAAAACTATACTTCATGTCACTATTTGTCATGTGCAATGATTTCTACTCCAGGGGGAGGAATATTCAGACAAGAACAGTATTCAAACCCTTGTGAGAAATAGGACAAGGAAAAAAATTAAGATTTCTGCTGCAGTTAAGCAAATTATATTATTAATTATTAATATTACTAGTTCCCCCTTTTAAACTTGATTAAAAAATAACAACAAAATTAAGGTTTTTCTTTCAAAATGTACACTAGATATTCTGTGATTGGAATAAAAACAGAAGTCTTGATCAAGTTATAAGGGTTTGTTCTTTTTTTTTTGGAAAAGCTATTTCAGATGCTACATTGGACTGCAATAAAGTTGTGTTGGTTTTTTTTTTAATGGATGTAACGCCTGCTAGTAACATCATTGTCAACAGCCTTTCAAAATAATGTGAAAAGATATTGACATTTCCTTTTAAATAAAAGTGAACTGCCAACTGAGGAAGTTGCAAATAAATAAAGTGTATACATCCCTAGGTTTTTGCTAAGTTAAAAACAGAGTAAACACAGCTTAGGCTTTCTATATGTTTCTAGTTATAATGGGTTTCATAGAAAAAACATCCAAAAAGATATTGCCAGAAAACGTCAGTTAAACCTATGTGTACTACTCAAATGCATTTAAAGAAACAGCCCAAAAAGAACCACACAAAGGAACTGTGCCCTAGTCAGAATACACAAAGATTCGCCAATGCAATAATAAAATAATTTCATAATGCTGTTCTGGAAACAGGGAAGAAATGTAAACAAATTCATTCTTCCATAAAAAGGAGAAGTATTTGCAATTGTTTAGAATTTAGAGAGAAAACCCAAGACATGGAAATAAGCCCTTTTTTTTGTTCTTTTAAAGGAAAATTTGTTTTGTAAACCATTTGTCTTGGAATCCTCTCTGTAGGCATCACATATCCATGTATGCGTATGCGTGTGAAAACACACAGCATTGCTGACTTCCATAGCCAGCCACTCTGACTGCAGATGGTGGATCTGTGGTAAGGCAGTGATCATATTATAAAATCCTTTTACTGTTTTGAGATAGTAGAGGCACCGGTATTAGTCCATTTTAAATCTTGGAAAAAAATCTCAAAATAGCAGAATCGTTCAGTAAATTCTCTCTATCCTCATGCAAATATACATATTCTCCTTTCTTTCCCCTTGCAATGTCAATTCTGCAAATAGAAAATATTTGTATTTTGGACTTGTATTTATTATACTAATATATTTATTTTTCAGGTTTGTTTAAACATAAACTGAATCACAAATTAATTCCTGCATTGAGTGAAGTCACTTTACTTTGGGTGTAGATTCCACAAAAGGAAGGTTGCTGTTGGCTTTACTTTTATTTTATTTTACTTCACCACTTGGCTCAAGGAAAGGCAACATAATTAACATCTGATACACATACGGCCTTTTTGGAAAAGGTTGACAAAATCCTCTTTAAGAATTGCTTAGGGTGGAAAAAGAACATCTACATGCAGGAGGAGACTTTCAGAGGAAAAAAGAGGCCATTGCCTTCCTAACGCTGGCAAAATAATTTAATCACTTGTTTGAGCAGGTGCTCATTTACACTATGTCTTCTTTACATAACTGCAGGAAAATAATTGAATTTGGACGGAAGGAACAAACTAAAAAAAATTGCTAAATTGCAGGCGATACATTAAGCCTTGCCATTATTCATTCACATGCAACGTGAAGATAACAAAACCTGAAGAATAGCTGCAGAGGAACAGCTTGGAAACATTTCTTGTGGCACAGCTTTGCGTTTCATTAAGATGCTTGTACAATCTGAGGTATCCCAAGCACTGCTGCTGATCAGGTTACCTGAAGTGGTAGGTGATGGGACGTGGGTGACGTAGGGATGGTGTTGAAACTTGGGCGGGTTGTCATTCACGTCGGCAACAGAGACGAGCACGCTGGTGGAACTGGAGAGAGCCCTGGGGAAGCCCCCATCACTCGCCACCACCACCAAAGTGTAGTTCTCCCTTGCCTCTCGATCGAGGAGAGCACTGGTGATGATTTGTCCCGTTGATGGGTTGATTGTGAATTGAGAATTGCCACCCGTAAGCCTATAGCTGTTTGAAAGAAAAAAACAAGGAGGAAAAATTCGATTAGTATTTCGTAAGGCAGCCTGCTGCCTTAAGATAATAACAATTTTCTATAGTCTTCAGACCACCATGCTGATGGGTATCAGCACATGGAGTTTCTTCTGACTGTCCATCTGTCTTCACTTTTTTCCCTCTTCCACATTGCGAGACCTGTCATAAATAACATTTCTGGGGATTTCCAAGCATAGTTGCTTAACCGAGATAGATTTCTGATAAATGAGAAGCAGACTGAGCTTTTGGACATTTGGAGATAAAGTCAGACATACACTCAAAATTGCCTACTGGAGGCATCCTCTAGTACTGATTTCCCTGGGCTAATGCGTTAAGTGTTATTCCAAAAGGCTAACATACCTCTTAACTGAATCTGCAGAATATAATTAGAAACAATACTATTTGCTGAAATAAAAGGATGACAATTTTACAAAATTAGATGAGGACTTATAATGCATATTGTTTCCTGATGCTGAGCTAAGTTTTGCTATTCAAGATTTCAAAATTAATTCACAGTAATTCATAGCAAATTAGTAACTACAGAGCTACATTAATAGAGACTAAATGGGACCAGGATTTGACCCTTGACTGGTGTTTATGTATGTGCACACATCTGTGTATGTGGGCAAAAATGTGATTTGATAAGAACTGACTGTGTGCTTACTGCAGTGTGTCGTACAGGCTACCTCTACTAGCACAGTGAATTTGTTCTTTCTCTTTGAATGCTTACCCTGCTTGTGTTTGTACAGAATGAATCTCAAAGACATGTGGAGCACTGGGCTGTATTTTTAAAGGTAATCATAGAAACATTTAGGTTGGAAAAGACCTGTAAGATCATTGAGTCCAACTGTAAACCTAGCACTGCCAAGTCCACCACTAAACCATGTCCTTAAGTGCCACATCCACGTCTTTTAAATACTTCCAGGGATGGGGACTCAACCACTTCCCTGGGCAGCCCGTTCCAATGGTTGACAACCCTTTCCATGAAGAAATTTTTCCTAATATCCAATCTAAACCTCCCCTGGTGCAACTTGAGGCCATTTCCTCTTGTCCTATCACTTGTTACTTGGGAGAAGAGACCAACACCCACCTCGCTGCAACCTCCTTTCAGGCAGTTGTAGAGAACAAGGAGGTCTCCCCTCAGCCTCCTTTTCTCCAGACTAAACAACCCCAGTTCCCTCAGCCACTCCTCATAAGACTTGTGCTCTAGACCCTTCAACAGCTTTCTTTGCTTTTTGTGGGAGGGAAGTAAATTGGTTAATATTACATTTTTTATTAATTCAGATAATGGGTTTTCTACAAAACAAAGGAAAGAAAAACTGGCTAAAATGAACAATTCCCATATTCAATATTATAACCCTGACAAAAACCAACACAGCTGTGATTAGCATTGCTTATTCAGAGAAGCCTGGTACAGCACAGTAGCAGCTTTTTTGAGGTATACAAGTCTGTAAAAGATTCAGAAGAAAATGGCTTCTATGAAAGAGAGTAATATTCCTATCTTCACCTTTTTAAGATCAGAACAGGTTATGACAGAAATAATGTCAGGCCAGAAGCTTTACCTAGAGGACTGATAGCCAGCCTGTGTAATAAGCTGTGGCAACTTCTCCTGTTCAGTCATTAATCTCTACAGAATGCCATGAGCACACTTTAATTGCTTAATTATGATATAATATGATGGCCATATGTAATTATTCTCCAGCCATAGCAATGTGCATCTAGGGTTGAAAAAATGTGCACAAAGCCCAAAGCACCATTTCAATCTCCCAAAATACTAGCAGCATGGGCAAATTTGATCTGTGATTTGCAATGTTTTAACCCTGTGTGAGGTGTTGCAGAAGACAGGGACTTTCTCTTCTGTATTCCCACATATATAGAATAGCTCAAGCTTTAGCACTGGAAAGATGCTATGAAACCCTTTTTTTTTTTAAAAAAAAAAGAGAATGAAGACAAATTACATTTGCAATAGGATATTCTGAGTTATATCTGAGTACAACTGCATGCAAACCAACTGGACAATGTAAGCCTGTCTCAGCATAGTTACAAAAAAATTCCAAACCCAAGCCAAAAAAAAAACCCAAACCCAGGACCCCAAAACTTGAATGGTGACAACTAGCATAAAAGGAATTTGACTGAAGCACTTAAAATCTGGCCTTTCGACTGGTCTGTGCTGACCCCTCTTATCTATACTATCTTTAACAAGACTGCGCAAGTGTGTGTTGCCATTAACAACCTCATCAGCCTCCTTTAATGACTTCACACGTTATCACCAGAAATAAGAGAAGAAGAGTTGGCATGTATGGATATGTAACAGTTTTGCAGAAGATCATCTAATTCTTGCATGACACAGTCCATTTTTTGACATGAAAATTTCAGCACAGGATTTTATATACCATCTTTGGAAACCAAAGATTTGATTTTGAAACAGGCTCTAACAAGACTGAAAAGGAGTTCTGAGTGCTCAGCACCTCTGACAAGATGATCTTCTGTATTCTGGTCCTTCTGGCTTTTGCCAGTTTTGTAATACCAGCCGTATTTTAAGATTTGCATTACTCTAATTGCTGAATCTGGACAAATTCTGTCCAAGAAAAACAAAGTATGTTCCTGAGTCTAAAAAGTGTAAAACAAAACCTGAAAACAATTTTAAAATAGCTACTTATGAAGGACAAAAATATTTTTATCAACAATTCTACTATGAGGTACTGAGTGAATGACAAAGACTAATGGCAGAGATATTAAAGCAATTCAACCACACTAAAGAAATCCGAGAGCACCCTGATAATTTCTGATTATGGGATGCAGTCATTACAATCATTCATGCTTTGTATTAAATTCTTTTTTTCTAAAGGAGCTTGCCAGAAATAGTTTCTTAGAGTGAGAGTGAATAGAATTAAAAGCTTCATTGTTTCACAATTTAATAAATGGTAATTTTGGATGCTTTTCAAATATTTAAAGATGCCAAAACATCAAGTTTCTATTTTTGGCTTGCAGCTAGTTGGAAAGAAAATATTACAGTATTTCATACACACTTGCTTTGCCATAACGTAGATCTGTTTTATTTTACTTCCTTTTTTTTTAAAAAAAAAAGACAACCACGGCGATATTCTTATGTACTTTGAAGAATGAACTGAGGTGAACCAGCAAAAGGAAATAAAGAAGCTACTTTTATGTCCCGTTTTGTAAGTTTGGAAACAGAGATACAGGTGTTTGCAGTCACGTTAGTTAAATGTGATGAGATTACCTACATGTCCTTCCGATTAATACCTAATATGAATCTGCTTTGTATTCCATTTGCAATAAATCAGTCCTCGGTGGATAATCTTCAGCTTGTCACTGCCACTCAGCATCTTCATTACTCTTGTCTGTGAAACTGGGAATGGCCAGTGTTCAGCCCAGTGCCCAGTTAAGTTGCATCAACTGAGCTCTGCAAACCATTTGGCATTTAAAGCAAAAATGCCAAATTCTAACTTTTTACTGGTTTTCCGAATGGGATCAACTTTACACCTTGCCTTGTGTAATTTTCATTCTAAACTGAAGACGTCAACTGACAATAAATTTACCCTAGGAACACGTTGGCTTTCAGTGAAAATTGCTTACTACATGAAAAGATGTGAATGTGGCGGCTTGGCAGGTGGTGGTTTCTGCTGATCGTCCAGTGGTCTGCAACATCTCCTGTAACGTATGTATTAGCATGCTGGGTGATATCGTCATTGCTCAGCTAGTTTGTTTTAAATGCATCCCAGTCCGCATAAGCAGTCATCTAAACTACAGTTAGGTTTGAAAAGCCATTTAAGGTTCAAAATAAGACTGAAGCCTTCTCCAAACATATGCGTACTATCACAAAATTAACGCTATCCACTAGTTTGGACATTTTAATGCAAAAAAGTTATCCTGATTTCTAGATTTGACTAGCTTAATGTTTAAAGATGACTAGAGCTGCAAAATACATTCTGTACTTTTCTTAGGGTGAGTGGTTTTCACTATAAGTGAAAAGAGATATTATTTAACTCTGCCCCAAAGTCAACTTTTGTAGCAAATTTGTTAATGACATTTGAAAAGCACATCTTCCTCTTCCGCACCAAGCCCTTCCTGAAAGCTCCTTCGATTAATATTTAAGAAGTCGATCAGCCTCCAAGAACAACGGTTTCCAGCTTTTTCAGGAATACATTTTAAAAGATTTGTATTATACCTATTAACTACATCCTTCATTAGAAGGCTTTAATTCTAAAAGTTATGCTAAATAGAAGGCAAAAGCCTTTCCGAAGGCTACACAAGCTGATGGCAGTCAGTAATGATGATCATTCACAGCCTATATCATATTTCTTTATGCAGAGAATGTATATATAAAGACTGCAAGCTGAAGTACTTCATCTATTTATGATATTATTTGGAGTTTCAAGATTTCTTTGTTTTTTATTAGTTTAATTCATCTACCTCTACACTTACTGAGAAATATAAATCCAGCCTATTAACAATTCCACTCAGGTGCAAGTTAAACTCATTTTGCTTTTCACTTAGTAAAAAACTAAAACAACACTGCAGCTCTAGTTGTCCTTAATATAATTCTAAAAGCCTTTAAACAACAAAAAAGCGTCAGATTTGCCAAAATAATTTAGCTCCACATATACAGCTGTCCTTTGGTGTCTTACAGCTTTATGGCATGTTGGTGATGGACACTGGGCGGGGGGGGGGGGTTGTTGGGGGGGCGCCGGGGGGGGGGGGGTGGGGGAATCTTTGGCCAAGGTATGAGGCAGTATTACATACAGCAACAGTAAATGACCTACCTAATAACAGCATTTGTAGAAGCGTCAGCATCTGAGGAGTTTACAAGCAAAATATCTGTCCCCGTAGGTGCATCCTCTGGAACAGTGGCAGAATACACGTTAAAGGCGAATGTGGGGACATTGTCATTGACATCATCCACTGTGACAGCAATGGTTCCAGTGCCAGTGAGGGCAGGAGACCCTGCGGGGAAGCGGGATACAAAATGCTAGAGGTTACAAATACCACCATGCTAATCCGAGGTCTGCCATCCCCAATTTAAAGCCTAGTGCTTGAGCACGTCACGGTTCACAGAGCAAGAAAGCCAATTCAACACACAGGACAGGGTCAGATTTGTTTCAAAGGCATCTCAATATAAAGTACAAGTTGTGAAAGAAACAAAAAAAGGAGTTGTTATTTTTCTTGCTCCATTTAATTCCAGAAATATTTTGTAATACAAGCTCAGCGGAAAAAGATGGTCTTGGAACCGCTCACAAGCCTTCCTGTAACAATTAGGATCAATTTGAACATGTGGTTGACTTTCCTATTTCTCGAAGCGAAGACGTTCAAAGGTGGCACACTGACAGCCGTGAAAACTCCAGCCCTCAATTTATTTATCCGCAGAACAAATAGAGTGGAAACAGCGGCAAACCCCAGCTTTCCGTGCAGCTTTTCCACTGCCGGTCGCACCCCTGACCTGGGGAGACCTTCTCTGAGCGGGTGAGGTTGCACAGTCTCCAGCCCCGTTCAGACTCAATTTCTCTGTAGAAGCAACCATCTAGAGCCGCAAATAATGCTCGCTTGGATGAGATATTGGCTTACGGGAAATTGGACTGAACTTATTTAACCTACGGCTTTAATCCTCCTTGTTATTCTAATACTTAACTCTGATGAGCAGAAACGAGTGAAAAATAGCATGTTTATTCATGTGCAATCTCTCGGTATTTATTCTCTTAAGCTTTTCCTTTGTCAAATCCCAAAAAAAGACAATGAAGAGTTTTACAAGTTCATGTTAGTTTTGCCAGTCTATTACACTTATTTTCAGCCAAGAATCAGCAAGACATCTTCTGCTAACCAAATTCTTCACTGAGGGTCCCTGAAAAAAATGGGATCGTTTTTTTTCTTTGAATACATAACAGAAAGGAGGAGAGAGTCATAGTGGAGCATAAAACACATGAGTTATGGCCCCTTTTACTCAAAAGACAGATGATGATTACGCCTGTTTTACCCAAGATTGTGTCGTTTTCCCCTTCAAGCTCAAACAGATACAACAATTCACCATTTGCTGGACTGGGAAAAAAACGATGATAATGAAATGCTTTGGGCCAGAGACTGGTTCGAGTCCTTGCCGCAAGGCAAGCATATTACACAGAGCTGTCATTTGATGAAACCCAGGCAGCCCCCTGTGACCTCCCTAGTCCTTCCATCCCCGCAGATGATCGGGCTGCTGCTACCCGAGGTTATTGCTGGACCTCAACCTTAGGGCTGGGAAGGAGGTAGGCTCTGCTCTTGGGTCTCATGTGGTCCTGGCAAGGGCTCCAGGCATTGAGCTCGTGTCTAAAAGAAGAAATAATGACCCATTTTCCCACATGTTAACCCTTGCAGGCTGAAGTATCACCACGCTGCGTTGCGGGAAGAAACTAGGAGCAGCTTCTGCACGGGAAAGAGGCTTTTCACCGCAAAATACTTCAAAGTAACTTCGCTTAATGCACAAATGGACTGAACGAAAGAGCTTCCAATTGAAAGGCGTTATAAATCTTGCGAGGCTGAGTTTGAAGCCTGCTGATCGGACAGGCCAGATCATGACATCGGAGATAGAACGCGCAAGCCAAAGAGTATAGGTTTCACGCCACGGCCGCGCACAATGGAGGCCTTTCTCTGCTCTAGTCTGAGGTAATTCATTTTGCCAATTAATATACTTGCAGTGAGCAAGGTTACATTAAGGCAATACATCTGACTCATTTTTCACCCTTTCCCCTCCCACCCCCAATTTTGTCATTTAGCCAAACACTTATAGATAGAAAAGATTGCAAAAGCGTTCTTGATTGCTGAAATATTGCCCGTGGAGTGTTTATTATTACTGCATTAAATGAAACAGAGTCCTCAGTGGTGTTTGCTGCATGTGTCATCGAGCTCTGGCCTTCCAAACACATTTAATCGACATTCATCTCGCAGCTAATGAAATGAAAAGTTGAAAGTTGTTAACTTTCACAGGTGATTAAACAATTTATACATAATTCAGAAATTAATTTTGGGTAAGTCACATTCAAAAAGCATCAGCAACGCAATTCAGTCTGGAAAAGAAAGCTAACTCTCAGCTAAAACCTGAAACTCATTGTTTTAAATGTATTTGCTAACACAAAGAGCCGATGCCGGAAAATTCACGCTGTCAAGTTTATTCACAAAAATGAACTGCAGTGGCAGTGCCTTTAGAGGTAACCCAGCGCTGGGGCGATGGGACTAGCTCCGGTGCAGCTCCGCAGGCTGGCCCTGTCCTGGCTGGGAGCACCGAGTTTGGGCTCAGTGCTGGGCTAGTTACGCTCACAGGACTGGCGAAGAGAAGAGAATGGGAAGAACGAAGAACGTGTTCATGTCCGCTGGCAAAGCACTGTGTGGGCATAGGCTAACAGCAAAGCGCTGCAATGGGTTTGTTCTTTCTCCTGCATGGCTAGTAAATCTTGGGTCACATAATGGAAATGGTCAAAAGGGATGCCAGAGGTAATGGCTGCTTATGGGCTATGGATATTCTCCTGCTCAGGATTACACTAATAGCAGCAGCTTTTGACTCAGCCATTTGACCCAAATCAGCCCTGGTCCCCTTTCCTCTCTGAGCAATCTGAATTTGCAGGGTACCAAACAAACACTCCAAGGGTCAAATCCCAGCCCTCGCCTCAGCCCCCTGTATATTCCGTGCCGTTATTCTCCAATTCCACTTCCCCATTGGATGCGTCTACAAGGCGCTGTACAGCACAGTACGGGCATATTTATATTAGCCTCAGAGAAGCGAATATACCAGCCAAGGTTGAGCACCATACTAATAAAATTAGCTAGGGTAATGTAAGTAACCCAGATATCATTCAGCGCTAGCTTGTGGCTGTGTTGTGCTCGCAGAAACATCCCAGAAGTCCCATATTAATTCAGCTGTTTGTAACATCCCAACTGCTCTTCAGTTCAAACCCCCAAATCTTTCTCATTTTACTTAGATGGAAAAATTCACGCATCTACATCGGTTTCCTGTCTATGCAGTTATCCAAATATGTTTTTTTTTTTTCCTCTCTAAGTAAAATATCACGTCCACAAATTTACTCCTTTATTCTATTACACTGAAAGATAAAGTTGCAATTTCACAGAGATTCGTCAAAGCTTTTATTCACTTGAAATTAAATGACTAGCTCACATTTCTGCAGTTACTGAGAAATATAAGAAGAGGAAATTACAAATGAAGTAATTTTCTATGGAAAAGAAATAGCTCAGGGCCAAATCCTGCCGTCCTCAGTGAACTTGCAGTGAAAGTTGTGCTTGCATAAGGACCACAGAATTTGGCCCCTGGTAATAAGTAGGTTTCATAAAATGTACATGTCATATTTGTGGTGAGAGAAGTAGTTTCCATGGTCAGGCTGAGTTCCCAGATTTCTTAGTTTTGCTTCGATAGCAAATCTTCCTCAAGTCAGTTATTCTTATTATGCTAGAGCATCATCCCTTTTTTATTCAAATTGCACTTAATATTTTGCATAAATAAGTGTAGTAAATTTTGGGTAAATTCTGCAATATTAGCCAAACACTGAAGGTGCCCCTAAACTGTTTTTAATAAACCAGACGTTACAACCTGTATAAAATTGCTGTACACAGCCACACAAGCCTCTGAGTACTCCTACAAACAGCCCTGAGGGCTAGAGCCACAAAGAAACACATGCTTTTCCCTTAGTGAACTTGCACTAAAATTTCTACCAAGTTTTCATAATAGTCTGAACTATTTTTCAGCAGAAGCAGCAACTATTTCTTTGTCAGACACCTCTTATTTAGAGCATTTCTCTAGTGCTACACTACTACTAGGTTTTTTTCAAATCCCCAAATACCATGTCTCACAGAGGCTTAGGATATCCATGTTGAAAGAAAGTTTTCTAGAAAGGCGCAGGAATGAAAGAACCGTCAAATGATTAATAACTGGAGAACATAAAGTTAACTCTGCAAACTAAATGGGAGAGATCAGATTGACTGTTCAGTGAATGCCACGTCTTTAAAATTTAAAAGACAATTACATTAATAATTACTATTATTATTCTGAATTTCCCATCTCTGCGTGCTGTGGTCTGTTTCTATGCACCGAACAGTTTATTTTCTAAGTGACAGCTGTACATATACATTAAGCAGACAGTCCCACAAACGTCCACACGTCATTGTTGAAATAAAGATTAACCTGGGATAGTGTCAAAGAGAGTAACGCTGAGTTCAGGAAGAAAATTGCTTCCCACGGATGTTCTTCCAAAAATTTAAGCTTTTTGCTTACATCTGCAAGTAAACATGTGTCTGGGGACGAAGAGAAGGAGCAGACCTTGGGAGCCTGCTCCGAGGAGGCCCGCGGTGGAGGACGAGTTACAGGGGGAGGTTACAAGAGGCCACCTCGGGCTTGGCCAGCGCTGGGCTGTGGCTCCGCTCTCCACATGGGACATTTGAGGAGGTGACGTGGAGAAACAGCCGTGGGGGACCGTGGGGCAGCAGGCGGCAGCACGGGGGCAGGACCTCTCTTCTCCCAGCAAGGTGGGACTGGCAAAGACCTACAAGCTGGTCTTCCACCCCATTCACCAACACTCGTTTGCAGCTGATCGCCACACAAATACGATGATATTCAAAATGTGTCAGCTCAGATGTTACAGTGAGCCCTCTCGACCTTTTGCTCAGCCCATCCAGGAGAAGGGGGATGAAAAATATCAGCTACGTGCACCAATGCAAGTAGAAGAAAGGAAACTAAATGCAGGAAGGTGACGGGGTGGGAAAAATATCATTTAACCTGCCAATTTCTACTTCCCAAATGCAGGATAGCCAGCAAAGAAAGGACAATACGCATTTCTGGGTGAACTCATCCTAAGTCACTCCTTCCCCTAATTTGTGCTAATGCTTATGAGCCATGAAGTCATCGAAAAGGGATGTACCTAAAGACTGCTTTCACTTTCGCCTTGGCCTACCCATGCTCCCTTCGAAGAAGG